GAGAGAGAGAGAGAGAGAGAGAGAGAGAGATTGACAGACTTTTAATATATGCCTCTTTCCTATTTTAAGTATCTTTGGTTTTGTATACACTGATTTGTCAATGAAGTCCATTTGCTGCTGATTTTATCAGGAAAAGGACTCTAAAGCTGAATGAAAACACAAATATGTTCCAAACCAGTCTTGTCCAACATCATCTTGTCACTTTCATGTAAGTGACTGCTCCTCTAACCCAGAGAGTCACATGAGGCAGTAGGAACAAGAGTGAAACTGGTTTCTGTGAAATGAGAAGTTCCATTATGCCCAGATGAAAATGCTTGGCTCCACACCTGCCTTCCCTTGGAGCCATGTCTGGTAGCTGAACCTTGGTGAGCCCACCTGAGGGGAGGCCCAGCTCAAGCAGCCAGAACTTATAGTAGGTCCCTTTGCCTTCCCAGGTGGAGCATATTATGTGGTGGTCTGTGCTTTTCGTTTTTATTATTCCAACTATTTTTTTAAAAGAAGTGTTATTTTTCAACAGATCCACAAATCAGTTCTCATTGTATGGTGAATTAAAACCACCATGTGTCAGTTAAGCTGTGACGTGCTAAATTCATAACCACTTACCCTGGTCTGTGTCTTCAGAGTTGCATGGTGGCTTGTTGCTGGGTTTTAAAGATGTTTTTAACTTACATGTTTTTTTTTTCTAATTTCTGTCTTTAAACTGATTAAACAGTAGTTTAAAAGAACCTGAGTGTATGTTTGCTGATTTCAGAGACTAAATTCCAGCTGTAGATTGATGGGCACTGGCACTGTCACAAGACTGAATGCTCTCTGGTTTATTTATTTATTTTTTATATGTACCAGTGTTTTGCCTGTGTATATGTATGTATACCACATGTGTGCCTGGTGCTGACAGAGGACAAAAGAGGATCCCTTGGAACTGGAACTGGAGTTATAGATGGTTGCTGAGAACCAAACCTGGGTCCTCTACAAGAGTAGCAAGTGTTCTTAACAGCTGAGTTATCTCTCCAGCCCCATGAATGGTCTTTTTTTTTTTTTTTAATTATTGACGCCTTAGTTGCTTAAATATTTTACTTTATTTTATTTTATTTTATTTTGTCTTTTTGAAGCAGGGTCTCCCTGTAGCCCCAGCTGTCCTGGAACTCACTATGGAGACCAGGCTGGCCTTGAACTCACAGAGATCCGCCTGCCTCTACCTTCCAAGTGCTGGGACTACAGGCATGCCCACCACGCCCGGCTTATTTTACTTTATTTTAAAATATCATTATTGTGTGGTGGAGCTTGTGTGGTCCAATGACAAGTTTGTGGAGTCTATCCTGTCTTGCCACCTTTGTGTTGGTTGCAGGGATTGAACTCTGGCTGTAAGACTTGCATAGCAATCACTTTTCCCCACTGAACCATCTCACTGGTCCTTGAACATTTAAAAAATACTGTCACAAACATTTAGAAGGTCATTAAAACCACCCTAAATTGTATACCAACAGACGTACTGACTTTCCTCATTCAAAAGGAATAGTTGACTCCCAGGCTTTATAGGTGGCTCTTTTTCCCAGCACTCATGTCCCATTCTAGTTTTTGTTTTTGAGAAACTGTGCTGGGGGCGCTGGAGAGATTGCTCAGTGGTTAAGAGCACTGACTTCTAGGACTGGAGAGATAGCTCAGTGGTTAAGAACACTGGTTGTTCTTGCAAAAGACCCAGGTTCAAATCCCAGCACCCACATGGCAGGTAACAACTGTCTAATTCCAGTCCCAAAGGATCCAACAGCCTTTCTGTCCTCCGCAGGCATTGCATGACATGGGGTGCACTTACCTACATGTAGGCAATACACACATACACATAAAAATAATAGGGTCAGGCGTGGTGGCACACACCTTTAATCCCAGCACTTGGGAGGCAGAGGCAGGCGGATCTCTGAGTTCGAGGCCAGCCTGGTCTACATAGCGAGTTCCAGGTCAGCTGGGGCTACAGGGAGACCCTGTCTCAAAAAGACCAAAATAATAATAACAATAATAATAGTAATAAATAAATTTTTTAAAAAAACCACTGACTTCTTGCAGAAGACCCGGGTTTGAATCCCAGCACCCATATGGCAGCTAACAACTGTCTGTAATTCCAGTTCCAGGGGATCTGATAGTCTCTTCTGTCCTCCGTGGGCATTGCATGACAAGGGTGCACTTACATGCAAGCAATACACGCATACATGTAAAATAAAAATAATAAATAAAATACATTTTTTTAAAGTGTGCTGGGCCCCTCAGTGGATATGAAATGTCTCTATCATGTTGACCTATTGAGAATGTCCATGTGTTTTCAAGGATTTTTCTTGATCCTGCTGTTGAGAGCTGGGGAAAATGCCTTATATTAACTTTTACTATTGTGTGAGATCCTGGCTGATCACATAAAGCCTAACCATTGTGCTTTCTGTGTGGAACACCCAAAAGTAGCAGGCCTGATCTTTTTTCCCCACATTTTGAGAATCAGGGCCATCCTGAAATTGGGATGAGACCCAAAATAGATTGTATACAAAATTGCCACCCATATGGGTAATAAGGGTCACATCCCTTACCTTCAAGGAACTAAAACTGTGTCTTAGGAGAGTACATCATTAAAGCCTGGAAAAAGTGTCTATGCAGTGAGGAAGGGAAGTAGAGCTTGGGAGAGTGCGATACTTCCCTGGAGGCTCTGGCTCCTGTCCCTTGAGAAATCTTTGCTGAACTGGGAAATGTGTCCAGTTGGAAAAAGAAAAGCTATGTCAGGAATTCTACGAAGTGTTAGCCACAAAGAACAATAGCAGAAGTTATAAAAGCATACCCTAGTGTCAGCAATATGCTTATCTATTTAACAGTAACTTTACCCCCAAAAGGAATAATAGGAAAATTGCTCAGACAATTATTAAAAAGAGAAAAAAAAAAAGATGAAGGAGTTCAAGCCTGTAGTTAGGTACAGGACATGCTCATGTGCCCACCACTCAGTTTGAAGAGGTGCTCCTGCTTTGCCATGGGAAGTTCCAGTTTTTCTTTCAGTGTTGGGGATGGAACACAGGGCCTTAAACACAATAGGCAAGTGTCCTACCACTGTGCTGCACCTCAGCCTCATTTTTTTTCAAAAAGAATATTGAACACGAGGCCAGCATACCTACTTGATATGATTAATCTTTATTGTTAATCCAACTGGACTTTGAATCACCTAAGAGATATACCGGTGGTTCTGTCTGTGAGGGTGTTTACACAGTTAACTGAGGTGGGAAGACCTCTGAATGTGAACAGTACTGTCCCATGGAGTCCTGGACTAAATGAAAAAGAAGCAGCAGTTAAGCACTGGTTGGGGCAGTGTGACCTGCCACCGCCTGCTCCTGCCATCCTGCATTCCTGCTGTGATGGAGTTCCCAGCCATGTGGGTGCTGGGAACTGAACCTGTTCTCTGCAAGAACAGCCAGTACTCTTAACCACTGAGCCATCTCTCCAGCCCCTTTGAAGTACTGCATTTTTCTTTTTCTTTTTCTTTTTTTTTTTTTTTTTTTTTTTTTTTTTGTCTTTTTGAGACAGGGTCTC